CCATCCATCCATCTATCTATCTATCTATCTAGTCCATCCATCCATCCATCCATCCTCTATCTATCTATCTATCTATCTATCTATCTATCTATCTATCTATCTATCTATCTATCTATCTATCTATCTATCTATCTATCTATCTATCTATCTATCTATCTATCTATCTATCTATCCAGTCCATCCATCCATCCATCCATCTATCCATCTATCTATCCCATCCATCCATCCATCCATCCATCCATCCATCCATCCATCTATCCATCTATCTATCCCGTCCGTCCATCCATCCATCCATCTATCTATCTATCTATCTATCTATCTATCTATCTATCTATCTATCTATCTATCTATCTATCTATCTATCTATCTATCTATCTATCTATCTATCTATCTATCTATCTATCTATCCCATCTATCTATCTATCTATCTATCTATCCCATCTATCTATCTATCTATCTATCTATCTATCTATCTATCTATCTATCTATCTATCTATCTATCTATCCCATCTATCTATCCCATCTATCTATCTATCTATCTATCTATCTATCTATCTATCTATCTATCCCGTCCATCCATCCATCTATCTATCTAGTCCATCCATCCATCCATCCATCCATCCATCCATCCATCCATCCATCCATCCATCCATCCATCCATCATCTATCTATCTATCTATCTATCTATCTATCTATCTATCTATCTATCTATCTATCTATCTATCTATCTATCTATCTATCTATCTATCTATCTATCTATCTATCTATCTATCTATCTATCTATCTATCTATCTATCTAGTCCATCCATCCATCCATCCATCCATCCATTTAATATTATAGGATAATGTACATTAATAAACATTCAAATAAATGCGAATGTACCCAAGTTAGCCAGTCCATTTTTCCTAATGTTATTAGCAGAAAAGAAACAAAATCGAGAAAGAGAGAAAAAAAGTGTACAATACAGAAGAGCCTATACAGCTTAATTAAATACAAATATGTTGCACGTACTGTACATAATACACTAAGATAATACAAATATATTTATATAGTCGTTATGGATGTACAAAGCAACATCAATGTAACTGTGTTTATTGGTTTTCCATCTTTGAATCTCTCTTCTTCTCTCACTGTTCTCTGTGTATCACTTCAGGTGGTCATATGCTCATATTTTGCCCATCATCTCAACGTCTTCAGTGTGGTTTCTGAGGAGCATTTGCACACCCTCGAGGACCGCTGGTCCCTTCTGAGCCTCCGTACTGCTGCAATCACTCACACAGGAGGGTACTTGGTGGTCTCCAACTACAGTGAGGCCCAGCATGCTCCATACCTCACCCTGTGGGACACACAACAGGGCAGGGTATGCTAATCATCAGGGACAATCTCTTTAATAATATGTCTTACTTTTTTCCTTTCAGTTGTGTTTTCTTTATTTAAAAGAAAGTGGGCACATTTCCAAACATCAGGTCCACCAGTAACATTTTGTAATTCATCTTTCTCTTTACATCCTGTAAGCTGAAAAATCCTTTTATTCTTAAAGGTGCGGAAGAGGTTGAAAAATGAACCTGGAATCTGTTGCATTGCTATAAGCGACGATGCCTGCAGAGTGGTTTTCGGCATTTCAGGATTCAACAAGTATGTGGCACCCCAGTCGCAATGTTCTGTGTTCGCAATGTTTTACAGGGTTCGTACAAGGTGCTTCAAGGACTTGAATTTATTATTGATACAACAATATTTACATGCAAAATTAACGCTGAAGCTCGTCTGATATAGAGCCATTTCGCATGGCTATTAGCGTGATATTGCTCATATAAATATCCAAGTATATGATACAGATTTCATTCTTCGTGTAAATCCAATCCAGTATATTCATGAGAATGAATAAGAAAGCGATATCTTTGTCATAGTATCCTTTCAATTGTTGAAGTTTCCACAGTCATGGCATGTGCTGCACTTTATTTGTACCATTTTGTTTTATTAGTTTATTTGTCGATTTTCCCTTTTTTTAGAATTTGAAAGATGATAAAGATATTGTTTAACAAGTGAGATCTCTGATTGTAGTCCTTCAAAACCAAAAAAGTAGTGCTTGAAAAGTCCTTGAAAGTCCTGGAATTTTATCTGTATGAACCCTGTTTTTAATATACACTACCAGTCAAAAGTTTGTATTTTTAAAATATTTTTGAAAGAATTTTCTTATGCTCGCTTATGTCAGATGTTTAGTGTATGTAGTCTATTTCAGTTTTATATACATGTATCTCTTTAAAAAAAAAATTAAGAACATTGGTTATTGTTATTGTTGCATTTATCATGGACATTATTTAGAAAAATACCCTTTTTTTCCCTAAACCTCAGGCTGAAAGTATGGGAGCCGTTCCGGAGGAAGCATAAAACCATCTCTGGTTATGGAAGTTTAAATCTTAACTGGTCCAGTTTGCTTTTTATCACTGAAGGACAATCCAAGGCTATTTTATTATCAGGTACATTAGACCTTTGACCATATTTGTGTTGGCTTGCTTGCTCTAGATGTTTTTCGTTTAATCTAGGTCGAGGAAAACATTCAAACTTTGTCAGTCATAGTATGGTGGTGAGAGGATTTAATAGGATCTACACAGTAGGATTTGTTTTGTGTTTAAGTTTCATTGAGATACTAGGAAGATATGTTATTTTTCCACAAGCCTAAAAAAATATGCGAGAATACATATTTCAATACTTTGAATTATTTGTTCAACAGATGAAGTGAGCATGTGGGACCTGGACAATGGGACGTTGTTGTCTTTCTTCACACCTGACTCTAAGATCCAGACCATCTCTTTACTTGGACCCAACAACGGCACACTGCTTTTGGGCTTTAGTGACATGCCTACTTTAATCACCATGACGGTCAGCCAACAAAATACACACACAAAATCCAGCATTGCTTGTGGGAAGGACCTGTTTGGGGAATCCAGCAGTAGTGAAGATGATGAAGAAACAAACAAGAACTGATTGGAAGAGCATTGGACCAGTTAAATGTACTGTATAATATAGGTTCTTTGTCAAGAATGAATTCAGTCTGAATGGAAATATGGGGCTTTATGATCTCTGGGATTCACTTCGTATTGATCTTAAGGATCTTTTAGGAAATTTTCTTGTACACGAAATTTTCAAAGCACAGTGTGGAAGGTAGACATGTGACTGCTGTCTTCATGAGACATGCAATGTATTCTGATCAGCATTTTCAGTGCTTGTTTTTCCACATACTATGAATTTACCAGAACTTCCCCGTCTTACCCTGAGCAGTCATGAGATCCTGAGGTTACGATAAAACAAATCTCAACAAGCCTGTGTTTTCACTTTACATTATTTCAGTGTATTTTCCTAGACTTCAGATGTATGTAGATTAACATTAAGATGTAATCGCATGTGTGCATACTTTGACAGTCCAGTTTCAAGTGTATAGTAAGACATGCTTAAACAGACTGTCCTTCTGTAGCTGACATGCATGCTGAGCATGAGTCACAATTTCACTTCCTGCATTTCTGTCACATGAAAGATGAGCAAAAACACTTCCTGCTTAACTCAATCTCTAAGGAGTTTTTAACAACTATAGCTATTTGCTTTATTGAGGCAAATAAAATTAACTGATGCCATTTTGTTTCATTTCCTTTGTAATTATTGATTTATTTAAAAGCTTCTGTCTTTATTTATTGGCAAGTAGGAATCAAATGTAAGATCAGGACCTCAACCATTTTGTTTAATTTGCACTTGCTGATATGGCTCTTGTCTTGTGACACCGAACATCACGAATAAGTTTACAGTTTACACACTGTAGAAATGCACTATTTGCAGGAAAAACAGGATTTATTGACTCTGCGAAACGAAACTGACCAAATAACAGGGGGGTCTAACTGAGGTAAAGATGTGATCTTAACATGGCGGCCCCCTTGAGGCAAACCATGTGTAATAATCCTGCCTTCATGTGCTTCATTCCTACTTCTTACTTCTAAATTCTTGATTACGAGCTCATCACATTCAAGTGCTTTGTTGTTGGATAGAACAGGTTTATTCTTGCCTATATTTGGAAAAATCATATTAAATCCAAAATTATATTTAACGTCCCATTCACACAGCCAAGTAGGCTGGTTGGTTGGTCTTAGCTGGTCTCCCGGCTTGACCAGCTAAGACCAGCCTGGTCAGCTGCTGAAAAAAGTGTCCAAAACCCCTCTAAAACCAGTCAGGTTAAACCTAGTCTGGTTTTAGCTGTTTTTCCAGCAGGGCTGACAGTGACAACTGACAATATGAACATCCACCATGCTATCTAGATAGTCAGCTTGCTGACGATTCTGGAATTTCTATCAAATACGGGCTATTTTCACTGTACAATATGCTTTAAATGATTATTCATATTTGTAAATATGCATTACTTTAATTACAAGACAGGTGATATAGCTGTTGCAAAAAAAAAAAGAAAAAAAAAAAAGAATAGCAGCAGCAATCTTTCCCCCTCCACCATGTTTGAAGTTTATGGCCTGTCCAGGGAGCCCCGAGCTTCCCAGTGGTAAATACGACTTGAGAGGTCGTTCGTGTCCAATGTTTACCTACTGTAGGAAACTAGTATTTACGATAATTCTGATAGCACGTGAAGGCAGCATAAAAACGCTATGGCTACTACATGCCTATGTCATGGGAATATATGTGGTTTTAATTATATTTTTTACAAGAACATTTTTAAACATAAAACTTCAAAAGAGAGGAAAAACAACATAATACGATTCTCAATGAATATCTGTATTAGGCTAAAGATGATTGCCACGATATAAATATAGCCTCATAAAATCAGTTCTTCTAAATGTTTCAGCAAGACGACAGCAAGACAGAATCCCATATCGTCATTAATTTTCGTTTTCTCCAAAGTAAGCTAACACGGTCACTGTATTAAATTTCTGGGACGCTTGTCTCACGGACTGTGATTGGACAAACACTCAAAGCGAGTGTGGTAAAGAACTTCCTTTACTCTATCAGGGGTTTCGTTTCAGAGGAATAAGTGCACTGTGTTACAGGCTTTCGACACCAGTTTCTTGCTCTGCTTTACAGCTGACGATCCAGCCAGTTTTTGTGTCAGGTACATCGGAATAAAGGTGTAAAAATGAATCACGGATTATTTTTGATCGCGGTATTCATTGCTGCAACAGGTAAAGTACACTATTTTACATTATTACTTGCTTTGAAAGGAAATGTTAAATTATGCCGTACGTCCACCATGAATTAAACACTGTGATTTAGCCTAATTAGTAAGTTAACGTTACCTTGAAAAATAACATACTGAATCGCACTGCAGGAACTTGAAAAAATACTAACATATGTGTATATGTCCAAAAAATGCAAGCCATAAAACTGACTGATTTCACCAATAAGGAAGTGACTGTGCTGCAGCAACTTATCTCAAAGCTGTAACCTAGCCTTATGTAATTAATATTTAACTTTTGTGATTAGGTTATTTTTATTCATAAGAACGATTTTTTAAACAAAAACAACAGCGAGATTTATTATTTATTTGACATACTTTTCTTGAACTAAAGTAGTTTCGATTTCCATGCATGACTTGAATACAACGCTATGAAGAGAAAATGAGGGTCAAACGTTTGTATTCTGAGGTCAAATTTTGTAGTTGCGCGTCAGAACATTATAAAGAGTAAAGAGCAAGAAATATTAATAGTCTAAAATGTTTTTGTCTTGAAGTTAGGATGATGTAGGCTAGTTTTCTTCCCTTGATATTTAAAATGGACTGACTAGTCCAGTTCAGAAGTGTACACTCTCAAGTGTACAAAAACTGTTACTGGGGTGGTACCCTTTAAAAAATAAAACTTTGTACTTAAAGAGTGCATATTAGTACCTTAAAGGTGCATATTGGTACCAAAAGTGAACATATTAATACCTAAATGTTATATTATAACCTTTTTAAAGGGTAGGGTGAATTCATGTTGATTGGGACACTTCTTCCCAGTCATCTCAATGGCAAAAAGTGTCCCAATCACCTTGAATTCACCCCCTACAGTCCCAGTGACAGCTTTTGTACCATTTCTTCTGAGAGTGTAAAGTGCACAATTTTGTCTACTATTAAACAAACTTTCCCTAAAGCAAAGAGAGTGTCAGTTATTTTGTCAGCACTTTCTGTTATGCGGCTAATCTAAGGATCACATCACGTGAAATCGGCTGAAGTGAATTTCCTGTTGGGAAATTGTAACGTGTGTGTACTTGTGACAGTGCGCGCACTTGTTGGGAGGAAGTGAATGTATGTAAACACCATGTGCAAAACAGATGGAGGCTCTCTGTATAGTGTGTATTTTTCTTGCTTCCTTCTCAGAAACGTTTACCTGGCTAAATATTTTTTATACAGGTTAATATTATTATTTTTAAATTATGAATCTTTTGTTTTGTCACTGACTTCTTTTGGCAGATGTAGCTCCCGCTTGGGAACAAATTCTCTCACATTCATTGTCTGTATCTTTTTCCTCAGCTCTCACCTCAGGTGAATATAGTTCAGATTTTATGGTCAACTCTAACACAACAACTCACAACCCGAAGACAACACCCCACAACCCGAACACAACAACTCACAGCCCGAACACAACAACTCACAGCCCGAACACAACAACTCACAGCCCGAACACAACAACTCACAGCCCGAACACAACAACTCACAATCCAAACACAACAACTCACCAACCACCAACAACAACCCACCACCCCAACGCAACAACTCACAGCCCCAACACAACAACTCACAGCCCCAACGCAACAACACACCAACCACCCACAACAACTGCCCCTCCAGCCCCAACGCCACCCACCAACATGACAAAGGGGAGATATAATGTTACTGATGGAAAAGGCAATATCTGTATTCTGGCTGACTTGGAAATCGGGATCCGTGTGAACACCAGTGAGGTAAGATGCTTTCTGTTGTAATGATAGATCTACTGTACATCCAAATGCTATTCCTGCTTATTATATCTAAACCAGCTTGTATCCTTCACACTGTCTACCTTGTCATTTCTCCATATTCCATGTACATATTATCCATTGTTCTGAAACATTTCTGTCTTTCTAGGTTAATGGCACGTTCATTGTTCAGCCGAGCAAAACTACTTCCAGTGGAGAGTGTTTGGAGAAAACGGCTAATATCATTCTCAGTTTTGATGAAGGCACAATTATCCTAAAGTTTAAAAATGTAAGTCTGTTTATGGATTTTCAAAAATAGCCTATTCTAAACAATGTGTCATGTTATGTATGATGGAATTTAATCAACAAAAGATTTCATATACCTTTAGAAGATCTAGAAGATTCTTTTACCATTGTAGTTAGTTTATATCAGGCTAGTGGAATTTTTTTTACAAAAATAATTCATTTATCTTTCAGTACAACCTGAGTTTGTGTGTTCTGAAAACAGAACTTTGAGGCACTTTAGGAGGAAGTATAAACGACTCTCACAAACAACGTGACCAATAAGCTCACAGGGAGGCACCAGGTGTTCTCAGCTGATTGATTATGATATGGTGACCCACATCATATCAGTATGATGCAGTTATGTAGATAATGTTTGTTACCCTGGTGGTTTATTGATTGTTACAGGATTGTTGTTGTGATTTGAAAATTGTGTGATGGTTTTATAATACATTATGGTTCTTCTGTATTTTGGATAACATTCTAATGATCCTTTTTTTCTTTGGACTTTCCAGGATGAAACAAAACAAAAGGTCTATGTCGAGTTAGTGGAGTATGATTTGACCTATGCTTTCAAACGTGGAGGTAAATTCCCTGCCATATGACTGGTACACTTTGCCTTGTAAAACACACACAATAACACACATCCTCAATTTGACTTTCAACTGTTACCTGTAGTTACACGGTTTTTGTATTGGGCATCTAAACAAAGAGGTTAAATATTAGCATTGGTCTTTTTTTTTACTTTAATAAATTATAAATATATATATTTTTTACTCATTGGTTCTTCAAAAATCTACTGAAAACAGAATTCTTGCTTAAAAATTCTTGTAAAGTGATATAAATAGCCAAGCCTCAATAAAAAAAAAAAACACTAGGCCATGCTGGTCAACCAGTTTGGCAACAGTAAATGTCACATGCTGACAAGGAAGTATTACTGTCAGTTTGGTTACAGTAAATGTGTCTTTTGCCTCCCTGTGAAAAATCCATGTGTGAATGCATTTCATTTTGAATTAAAAAACAATATGACCTTGCATAAAGACTAGTTTTTATGTCCATGTGAATACATTTTCCCTATTTCAAACGAGTTGTAGTGGAATAGTTTTCACTATAATTATGACTGTTATCATTACAATTTCGTATATGTTTGATCAAATTATTTTTATTTTTGTCAACAAAGCATTGGGAAACTACACAGGGAAGAACGAGTCTCTTGAGCTGTTTTCCGCGGCTCCGGGTCACTCTTACTCCTGCAGTGCTGAGACCGTGTACATGGGGAACGGTGTGAGTCTAGATCTGACCAATTACAGACTTCAGGCCTTCAACATCAAAAGCAATGAATTTGGCACAAGTAAGTACAATCTTAAAACAATCTTAAAGCACCCATCCTTGTAGTCCTTAAAGAAACCTCTATGTTACACTCTACATCAAGTTATGTTGCTATTTGGACTATACTCTTTGCCTTTCTTATGCACTGTATAGCTTATGTCCTGGTCACAGTGATTTTACCAAGTAAGACATGTTCCTGGATCAACATATTTTGTGTCATATTCCTAACTCTACCCATAACTTATCCCTAAAATAAGAGGGAAATGATGGTGAATAACACTGATGTAGAAGCACTGGTTGTAAGCCTAAACGTGACAAACTCAAATCTGATTGGTTGATTGGAATATTGTTCCAGGATCAACAAAGATGGTGCACTTAGTGAAATCACGTTCACCATTATGTCCTACATACGTCGTACAGCTTGTTTACAAAGATTGGTGCAAATGTGGGAATGCAAAGGAGCTGGTTAGACCGGCCAGATGACTCTAAACAACCAGTGCTAAGAAAAAGTAGGCCTGTTATAAAGTCCAAAGGCTACCTAACATATTATTAACTAATGTGGATGCATGTTTTTTTTTAAATCGTATGAAAATCTGCTACTTTTTTAAATAGCTTTTTTTTATTATTTGACATGACAACTTTAAAAGTCATGCGAATTAAATTCAATTTTGCAATTTTGCAATTTTGGCCACCCGTTAAGTATTATGTATATTTGTATCTACTAAATTATTGCTATTTTAAGACTGGAAAACACTACACAACTTTTGCAGAGATTTAGTTAGAGTCTACGCTAGTTGGCGAAAGTCAGAGCCAGTCTTCAGATTTGAGTTGACAGATTTGACAGGAAATTGCAAAGTGTAAAATGATCACAGACTTTTGTTTCTTTTAGTTTCAGACTATAATTACGTCCAATCAGAGAATCAAACATGTTTGATATTGTTTGTTGTTTAGTGTAGGATTCCCAATTTTTCTTGAACCACTCACAAAGTTGGCAAGTTTATGCCTAGTGTTTTAAAAATTAAGTCGTGTAGTCAGTGTGTTCCAGCCTTTTCATTTTTGCCTTTAAAACTAGAAGATTGACACACTGTTCACTGTGCCCTATTTGTGTTTGTCCAACAGATGATCTATGCAAGGCTGATAAACCGGACTACCGCGTTCCCATCGCCGTGGGCATAATCCTCATCATTCTCATCGTCATTGTAGTCATTGCTTATCTTATCAGCAGAAAACGGAGAAGTAATGGGTACCAGTCACTATAGAGGCCTAAAAGTCCTGATTTATACCAGCGATTCTGGTTTACAGGAGATTTAATGCTGTTATGTACGTCTTAAGTGTATGTTACTCATATATAACGATGATGAACATGGATGGCTTAGGATCTGTTCAAACAATGTTTACTATTCAGAGACGGTATGTCACATCCTAACACAAGCAGCAACCATACAAGCAAATGGCTAAACTACTGCATGCCTTATTTAGCCTATCATAAACTTTTTTTTTTTTTAAACCTAACCTAATCCTGACATTACAGAAGGATGTGCAAAATCTACGTTTGCTCCATCTTGTGTAAGTGTTCTTTTCTGTAGGTGCTCGTCTCATGCATTGCATTTTCTGTGTTTGGCTGATCAGCCAATGTTAATCTCATAAATATGTACAAATTTGGTTTTAAACCAATAGGCTGCATAAAAGGGAATTCAGTTGCTCATGTTTATGTTGGGATATATAGGCCTTCACTGTGTTTTGTAATTAATATAATAGAAAGGATTTTTCTCTCTGTTGTGCTTGTTGTTGTTTTTTTTTTTTTTTTTTGCAAACTGAAGGGCTTTACTATTCTGTACTGTGATCTGAATGCACTGAATAATGCAAATAATGTGTAATTTGGATACATATAATAAATAATTTGTCCCTAAAAATGGTTACTATTTTAATATTTAGCATTAAATAAAAAAACGTAACACACAATGTCCTGGTAATGCATGTATAAAGCTGGTCCTGATTTGTCTTTCTCACCCTGCATTGCGTTACATGAGTTTTCGTAGTTTATTCGCTTTAATTAATTTTATCTGGATTACCTTTTTGTATATTAGTGCTAAAAAAATGAAGATTTTTGTTCACTTGACTGCTAATTCTGGGGTGTAGAAATGGAAGAGGAAGAGGGGGAAAACACAAGCATTATTTTTGGCAGTGTGTTATGTGGCGGCGCAGATGCAGAATCGTGCAAAAGTGTATTTAGAACAGTTTTCTATTCATTTCACCCAAATATGAGTCCACGCTTTGACTACAAAATTATGGCAACATATCTAAAATCATCCTCTCAATTATTATTATTTTTTAATGTTTTTGGTTTTTAGTAAGTAATCAACTTTTTCAAATCCCCTTTGTATGAATTTATTCATGCTATAAGGTTAAAACATTCACTGTAAACCCAATGTTGTCATTAATAAAGAAATCAAGTTATCATAACTTAACATTACTTAAAATAGCAAGCTTTGGCATCATAAATTAAACAGGTGTGATTAATTCACGAACGGATAAATGCTACATTGCTCTTACAAAAATATGAAACAAATAACAACACAGAAGACTAGGCTAGCCTATATATCAGACTATATAGAATTGAATGAGATTAACTCTTAATTGAAGAGACTCACTCTGCAGGATATAGATTACTTATTTACTGAAGAACTTAGGCATACATTTGTGATTCTGTAACATATTATAGGCCTACAACAGAAATAAAATTAATATACACACAAATATTCCACAAACATAACACAACACAAACATTTTGTAAATAATTAAAGAGTAATCGGTCTAAATATATAACAATGACAATATGTAAATAGCATTGAACCATGTTAAGTGATTATTCTGTACATCTCCACAAGAGGGCGCTACTAGCACGTGAATGCTGTTTAACATATGGAGATAAAATAATGACAAATGTTTTTGAAACAAAAAAGCTTGTTGAATTGTACTACTTGAAAAAAATATGCATTGAATTAACCCCTATTGCATTTTAATGCATTGTATTTTAGGTCTTGCATTTGTATGGGCTGAAATTCAACATGGTTGCATTTAAGCTGTGAATATCTCAATTCAAAATATTTCACACACGTTTTTATCAATAAAAATTCAATAATCCATACTTACCTTTCAGATTTCACTTCCAAAATATTTATTCTGTTTAAAAATACAACCTATAATATTCGACAGGCAATTTTCGGTCCTTTTTTTTTCCTTTACAACTTCGCTTCCACAAATCCCATGTTTCAAATTCGACAGAAAATTCAACATTTGACTTCCTGGAACGGCAGGAATATCAGTAGATTGCCGATTGATACCCTCCATAGCTGTTAGTCGACCTCACCAGCAGGGGGTGCAAGCGGCTGTTGACGAAGAAAACGTCTCCGGTTCCTATCGTAACCTCGGTTCCCTGAGAGGCGGGAACGAGACATTACGTAGTGTTACGTATATGGGAACTCCTCCAATTCTCCACTTTTGCTGAAATCTTATAGGCTAACGCCAGCTGGGGACACGCTAGCACAGCTGAACAAACAGCGAGCACGCCGGCTAACGTAATGTCTTGTTCCCGCCTCTCAGGGAACCGAGGTTACGATAGTAACCGGAGACGTTCCCTTTCGAGGCGGTAACTCGACATTACATAGTGTTACGTATATGGGAACTGTATAAAATCCCGCCGTGAGAGCAGTGAGATAAGCCCAAGACAGGGTCAAGCTCTACCCCTCGTATTGACAGACAGTTCATACAGCCAATAGCCATGCTCCTAAGAATACACATATCTGATAGGTGAAACTAGACCAATGGCGTGCCTGCCTACACCTTATCAAAATTTGCATATCCCAAGGTAATGAAATAAGGAAGGCTGCACTGAATCTGAACAGGGCAGACACAACACAATAAGTACTCAAGCACTAGAGTAAACGCAGTGTCCACGGCATTAGCGGTGACAGCCACATAATAGACATAACACAGAGTTAGCAAAAATGGTAACTACTGCATACATACACATGAATAAACGCTCAACTCACCGAAAGTACTTGTGACACTACAGAGGGTACATTCAACTTGTAAAGCCTGGCGAATGTGTTCTGAGAAGACCAGCCAGCAGCAAGACATAATTCCTGAATAGACATACCTCTAGCCCAGGCCCACGAGGAAGCAATCGCCCTCATAGAATAAGCTCTGATGTTAAGGGGACAATCTTTCCCCTGGCATTCATATTAGCCAATGCAGTAGTGTCCACAATCCAGTGAGAAGTCTCTGTTTTGAAACAGCACGTCCCTTATTACATCCACCAAAGCACACGAACAGCTGGTCCGACTGACGAAAGGCGGCCGAGCGATCCACATACGTCCGCAAAGCCCTTACCGGACAAACAGCGCTCTGAGCGTTGGCGTCACGCAAGGCTGACGGCTCAGCAGATAAGGCGGGCAGTGAGACAACCTGTGCTCTAAACGGTCTGTTGAGTGAATTTGGAACGTAGCCTGGTCTCGACCGGAGAGCGACACCAGGACCGAAATAGAGGCAAACGCCGTTCACCGAGAACGCGTGTAAGTCTCCAATGCGCTTCGCCGAGGCGAGAGCGAGAAGCAAGGCCGTCTTCAGGGAAAGCTCCTTGAACGCAATCGCAGCTAGAGGCTCGAACGGTGGTAGAGATAGAGCCCTCAAACTAGAGCTAGATCCTATGGCGGCACGGAGGGCGGCCGTGAAGGACACAATCTCCTCGCTCCCCTGAGAAATCTGATCACTTGATCGTGCTTACCGATCGATTGCCCATCAACCGGGGAACGAAAAGCAGCAATAGCGGCCACATACACCTTCAGCGTTGATGGCAAACTCCCGTTGTCCATTCTGTGCTGCAGAAAGCGCAAAACATCCGACACAGAACAAGTCCCCGGGTCAACATCGATGTCCTGGCACTATTTCGCAAAAACTCCCCACTTCAGAGCATAGTGTCCTGGTCATTTAAGGTCCCCGCAGCGGCCACACATGAAGGTTCCAGACCTCGGGGCTGGGGTGCCATATCGTGCCTTTCGCCTGAGACAGCAGGTCCTTCCTGAGGGGGATTTTCCACGGGGGAGCCACCATTAACTCTCTCAGATCCGCGAACCAGGGCTGATTCGGCCAGTTCGGGGGCACAAGGATCACTGACGCTCTCTCCTCCCTGATTTTGGACAACACCATAGGCAGAATCTTCACCGGAGGATACACGTAAAGCCTGGCTTCCGGCCAAGGCGACGTCAGAGCATCTCCCGTCAGCGGGGAGTGAGATAGCGAGAAGAATGTCTGACAGTGCGTGTTCTCGCAAACAGATCCACGTCCGCCCTCCCCCCAAATCGAACCCAAATCATTTGCACCGATCCAGGGTGAAGCCTCCACTCTCCTTAAGGAATCCCGTTCCTTGAGAGCATGTTCGCTCCACGGTTCAGAATACCGGGTATGTGTGCCGCTCTTATGGAGAGAAAGTGTCGGTCCACCCACAACAGAAAACTCGCTGCCTGTTTGAACAGAGCTCTGGAGCGCACGGCGCCCTGGCGATTTATGTACGCGACCACAGACGTGTCGTCGGTTCGAATCAGTACATGTCGCTGCTCCAATTGTGGCCGAAAAGCCTCGAGGGCCCTCACCGCCTTCAACGTCATCGAGTTCAAACATACTCCCAGATACGTTATAGTCTGACTCGGTATAAACACGCTTTTCTGCATGTTCACACGCAGTCCCAGCGTATCCATGGCGAAGCAGCGTCTCCACATGACCGATTAGCACATCTCTCGAGTGAGCTAAAATCAGCCAGTCGTCCAGATAATTCAGGATGCGCATTCTGCTCGATCTGAGGGGAGAAAGCACCGCGTCTACACACTTCAAGAAAGTGCGAGGGGCCAGGGCCAGTCTGAATGCGTGCTTGTGAAGCGCTCGGTTGAGGGGTCTCAGGTCCAGTATAGGACGGAGTCCCCCATCTTTCTTTGGCACCACAAAGTAACGGCTGTAGAATCCGCTCTCCTGCTCGCTCGGAGGGACGTGTTCTATCGCTCCTTTCTCGAGCAAACTGAGAACTTTCTGTCTCAGAACAGGAGTGTTTTGGGGCAAAGTTAATGACTGGACCACGCCGTGGAAGCGGGGTGGTCTGCGTCTGAACTGAAGAGAAAAACTGTGCTGAATTAAGCCCAGTACCCACGGCGAAATCCCTGGGATAGCCTTCCACGCATCCAGGAAGTGACACAGCGGGCGCATTAGCACTGTGGCCGTCACCGCTACCGGCGCCGTGTATAG